ACTAGAGAGTGAAAGGGAAAGAAACCCACAAAATTAATTGGAGAATTGGTTATAATGGGTCCAATTCAGTTACATTAAGTGTATCCTCACTGCAGCTCCCTCAGTTTCACTGGTATATGAGCATAGATGGCCCAATATATGAAGGCAATTGTTTAATTCTTCCTCTGTTTCCCCAAATAGAATATAGCATCATTAAAAAAATGTATTGTTCTTAGTTTCATATGCTAGGTTTTCCTGAACACATAACTTGTTAATGTTCTCTCACGCCACAGTATAAAGATCAGCATTACAGCACACTGTAAAAATCACACCAAGAAAATCACCATAACCTGGTAAAACAATGCCTAACTCCAGCCTCAACCTTCACTATTTGGAAAAGACTCTTACTCAAAATAAAAATGTTTGCACACATGTATGCAAGCCCTACTATATTTATGGTGTGGCTCCTAAAGTTCAGGAGATATTCATATGGTCAAATTTATCTTTAACAGGAGTAATTTTTAAAGCTTTTTTAGCTTTAAGAGTGAAAACGTATGCAGTGATCATCAATAAAGAGACTCTCAAGTCTCTACCATGGTAATAAAAGCAGAAAGTAACAAACCCACTACACTTAAAGAACCAAATTTTGTTTCCATTTAAAAGTCAATAGCAAAAGCAGACTCAGAAAATGTGTTATATTTATATATAAAATTGAAAAACAAGCCAATTAAAATGTTATTATTTGTAATGCAGGAGCACCAAGGAAGCCCAAATAGCCACTTGGGGCTTGTTTTGCTTGGTCACAGCATAAGCACAGTATATAAGCAAAATATAAACTTACATTGATTATTTAAATCAGGGATTATCATCATCATACATATTTCTTCTGAACTAAAAATACTAACCCCTGGATTTTGTGGGTTGCACCATTTGTAGATGTCCCAGCAGCAACGTTTCCAGTCTCACCAATTACAATCATGCCTACAGATTTTGACAAGAATGAAGTTTAATAGGAGTAATTCACATAAATTTGACAGTATGAATATGTCAGAACAGAACATTTTGACAGTACATTTGAGGGCCCAGGTTGCACGTGTAGTTGGGCACCTGAGCACCTTAATTCTTGATACGCTGGAACATTTTAAAATTGATCTATATGTAATCATCACTGGTTAACAAGTAGAAGACAGATGTGGGGGAGGGGAAACCCCAAAACAGTACTTTACCAGAAGAGAAATCTTGCCAGTTTGACCCGGCTCACCCAGTGGATATAGCTCTCATGCGTCAGTGGGGTTTTTGGCGATTTTATCTAATAGCTGATTTAATTGGAAAGAAGTGCCAAAAAGCCCTGCTGAAACATGTGAGCTATACAGGTGCTGGGTGAGACAGGCCATAACTGATGTACTTCCTCTTCTGGCCTTGTACTGTGCTCAGGGTGTGCCAAGCTGAAAGTAAAGGTCTGGAACGGGCTTTCAAGGGAGGTGGTGCTCTCCCCTACCCTGGGGGTCTTCAAGAGGAGGTTAGATAAGCATCTAGCTGGGGTCATCTAGCCCCAGCCCTCTTTCCTGCCTATGCAGGGGGTCGGACTCGATGATCTATTGAGGTCCCTTCCGACCCTAACATCTATGAATCTATAAAGCAATTTGTTTTTTCTTTTACGTCTGTAAGCACCCAATGTATGTATATTTTAAATCCTTTACGAACATTTACTTTGGACAAATTCTGAAGCAGCTCTCATACCATATTGGATCTAGAAGCCCATAAATATAAGGGGGGGGGGGTTGGAAACTTAAATTGTAGTTCAGTCTGTTAAATACAACAGAATAAACAGATAACCCATCTACCTTGGCCTCCCCAATTTCTGCAATCTGGGAGACTATCATGAATTTATGCCCTAATTCAGCAAGGCATTTACAGCCTATAATGAGCCTAACTGCCTCTAGTGAGACGTGTTTACATATGCAGAGGGTTTTAGAAGGGGGTGAGGCATGGGGGCTCAGTACTTAATTTTTTAAGGGCTGCTTTGTACTGAAAACCAGTTGTCATACAAGGAGTCATCAGTAACTACATTGGCAACAATCCAGAACAAGATGAGGGAGTTAAAATTTAACTAACAAAATACAGAAAGGTAACCTGGACTAAAGCATTTAAAATCTGCCTCAAGCCAGGAGTTCTGGAATCCTTGCTATATAAATATCATGTACACCAATAATACAACAAGAGGCTTTCAGGGGGGGTGGAGGGGCTTACTTTTGGGGGATCATTTAGAGAGTATGTTCTATGATATATTTTAATAATTTTATCTGTCTTTATGATTCATCTGTTTTTATTGCAAGTCATGCTTGACCTCTTTTTGGGAGGGAAGCTTATAAATCAAATAAATAAATACATCATTTTAAAGTCCAGGCAATTTTATACAACCCTCCAATCAGGGGTCTCTAGCAAAACTCTCAGGTGTCTTTGTTACTACTACTCTTAATTTGTTTTAAGCATACCACCTTGTAGTAAATCTGCTGCTCCACCCAAAAATTAAGTGGAGGAAAGATGGTAATAGGATTTATAATGTAAGTTTAAGTTAACTAAGTGTTGTAGCTATCCTTTTACAATAAACACAAAGTTGAAAACAAATGTTGAAAACGTTGATGTGTATTTGGTATACTGCCAATTTGAAAACTTTTCTTGTTAAACTCAATAATATTAAATTAGTCAGACTGCAAAAATGAGTAAGTCTTTTAGCATAAAAGTTACCAAAAAACTTTACCAATAGTATCATGATTATGAATATTCATTTTTCTTTGTGAGATGCTCCATTCTTTTCTGTTGTTTAATTCTTTAGCCCGTTTGTATGGTCCACAGGATTTTGAAGGATCTGGTATTACATTCTGAAATCAACATTTTATTCATAAACATAATGATATTACAGTAAAACTACATTTTAAAAAGCTACTGTAACAAATATCTTCAGTCCAAGTATTAGATACTTAAAATTATGATGATTCAGCTTTTGTACTTCAGTACAGCTGTAAAGAGATGCATTCACTGAATGGCTTTCAATATTGTGTGATGTAGAAACTAGTTTCTATAATATGTATTTACGTAAGTTAGTTTAAAATATCATTGTTGCTTATTAGATTGGTAAAAACAAGTTTACATTTCCCAGCAAAATGAAGAACTGTGAAAGTTTTCAGAGTTATAAAGACAAAGCAGGTTCCCTGTTTTTAATTGGATTTTCTTCTCTGTAAAGATGAAATATTATAGACATGACCCTTTCAAGCAGAGGTAGAGGCAAGAAAACTGGTTATCAAATGAAGACAGTTCAATTTGATAGCATCTCACATAAAAAAAAGACAGTGGCTATGTACTCATATGCAGTTTCTACTAGAAGAGTCACCATTTTTTAGTAGAAACCACAAGCATGTAGATGTTCAATCTTTTCCTCCCGGAGCAAAAATGGCTGCCCCAGGAGAAAAATAACTTGGGAACAACTAGGTTTAATATTTCTGGGAGCATTTCTTCTGAGAGAATGAAGGTCTACACACTTTCCCCCAGCTTAACTCCTCCTAGGGACCAAGTGGAGTGGAGCTGGGGGAAAGGCTCCTGTGCCCTCCTGAGCCCAGGGTCACTAGTGTGGAAAAGGCATGTGGGTGGCACAGCACAGTTGTCTGCTTCTCAACTAGTTTCCCACATGAGAACTGTGCAGGGGCTTTGCCTCACCACTCCCTCTGCTTGGCTGTCAGGAACCAGGAGTCAAGTGGCAGGGAGCAGTGCACCTCCCTGCCTGCTTCTCAAACCCAGGTTCCTAGAGTGAGCAGACAGGGGCTTTGTTTGCTGCACTCTCCCCTGCATGCTTCCCCTTGCCTTTCCCCAAGGGGAATCACCTAGCAGGAAACAGGTCTTGAGGAGGCTCTTGGGATAACAGGGCAAAGTCCCTTCTTGCTTCTCACATTGGTGTCCCAAGTGTGTGCAGCAGGAAGGGGTTTTGCCCCACTGCTCCATCCCCTCAGCTCCCCAGCATGCCAAGCAGATGGAGCACAGCTGCAAGTCCCTTGCTTCAGTCTCCCAGGAACAGGACTGCAGCAGCTCACGCTTTCCCCAGACTAAGGTGAAAGGGCAAGGAACAGTTGCAGACTCAACAGCTATATTTCTACCTCTTCCAGAATCATTTCTAGTGGAGGAAAATATCCAGCCCTAAAAATGAGTATTTGTAGGCAGTCAGTGTACACATACATACAATAACAAAGTGCACCATACAAGAAAAAACCAACAACACAGGAATAAGGACACCACTCCACACAGAAATACATGCATAATAATTAATTCTTACTACAGGGCCAATTTTGGAAAGCAAACATCCAAGGAGTCACATTAAAGTTAACAGGACCACTCATATGCCTAAAATCACTCACAGGCTTAAGGAAATATCAGGGCCTTAATTTCTAGTATGGGATTTCATGTAGAGAGACTCTTGCATACAGAAATATGAAATCATGCTGCATGGTTCACAGCAAAGATGTGTTCCTAAATTCAGGAACAGCTTTATACTAAAGCTAAAGGTTAACAGAATTCTGCAAATCACCCAAAAAATCTTGTAGTCCCCAAGCATACCAATTGCAACTCCACAACTATTTTGTTGGTTAATGTTTTTTAAATAAAACATCATTTTCAGTATGTTGAATGTAGCTAACAATACTGTGTATTCAAATTTCTAAAAGCAAAATAATTATACTATTATAATAATTATATATACTATACCTTCCAGTAGTTTGGCTGGCAGCTTTGATTAAGCCACTTTAAATATATTGAAAGCGAGTTCTGAGTGGTTAAATCTTCATATGGAAACCCCATGCTCACAGCAAACAAGGAGGCTTTAACAGGCAAAAAAAGAAATCAACAACATTTTAATATAAGTATATTATTATACAATAAATTTCCTTGATGATCATGACGACAAATGAGCTCATTTCCCGAGAACTGCAGAATATGTTCTTCAGAGAAACAATATCTGAAATTACACTGATGTACCATTATAACATGCAAGTCTTCTTTTGCCAGAGGGTCTATAATGCTGTTCTTTTAGGGGTATGGATAATATATATCTTGGTTCTCTCTCCATTTAGAGTCCTACTCACATCTACAAGTATACTTTTAGTGAATTCAAGTTGTGTTACTGTAGAAAGGAACAAAATTTAACTGTTGCAATCAACTGGGCATATACAACTGCTCAACCAAAATAGAATGTGCTATTTTAATTAAATAGATAAAAAGTAACGAAGTTACATTACTTTAAAATTATGAAATCTAAACATATTTAAAAGTGATGCTTGCAGAGAGGAAACAGCTGCTAATGCTTCACAAAGCCCCATCTCCCAACTTTCGTGATATAACATTTTTATTTCCTACAGTTTTAAAAATGATTATTTCCTTATGTTAAGGTCTTTTCTATCCTTTGACATTATATAAAAGGCCCTACAAACACCAAGAAAACTGATTCCCTATGCAGCAAGGAGCAAAAGCATTTGTCAAAGCAAGCCAAGTTTAAAGCAAATAAATAGAAAAAGTTCTAGTCACTCTTTTTAGTTACAGTAAAGCACAATGACTGACATTTTAAGTTACCAGTCTTTTCATCATTTGATTCCTTTGATGTCTGTCTTAAAAAAAGACAATTATTTATGTACCGTTTATTTGTGTATTGCTTTTACAAAAATGTGCTTATTTAAGTTTTCTTGTTATGAAGACAGCAATTCTCACATAATTTACTAATGTTCCAGTATCTAGAGTAAATAAGTATGAGACTACTGTGATAAAAGCCCGCTTACTCATGAGTATCAACACCTCCCTTGTGACTTTTGTAGCCTGCTTTTTAGTCTAGGCGGTAGAGCTGTTATTGGGTTGTTTTGTTTTTTTTAATTACAGAAGTTTTTCACTAGGATTCTGGAGTTTGGTCAATGGAATCGTTGGCAGGAGAATGGGCAGTGAACAGGTCATGTTGGGATCACAGATGCTTCTCAAATCTTAACAATCAACCTTAAGTCCCCTTGCCAAACAGACGTATAGAATCCCAAATTTGGCCATGAATTTGCACAGATGGTCCCTCACACCTATGCAGAGCTCTGTGCAGTATTCAGTCTTTAGCTACTCTTTTCTGCTAGCATACCTTAACCCTGTTCTGGAAGGCTCACATGATAAACTGAAAGAGCAGTTCTTACAAGCCCAGCCTGTAATAAGAAATTCCTAACTCCATTCCTGAGAGAGGAAGAAAGGGAGGGAATGGAGGCTTTAAGGAAGACTAAAGACTAAAAGCCAAGTCTCCATACTTATAAACCCAAAAGCAGGAAGTGTTTGGCAGTGGAAAAGAGTGGAGCTCCTGGGGATGAAGCTGGGGAAGCTGAACTCCAGAACCAGTTAATTATGAGTAGGCCCAAAGAATGGTGACAGTTGAGCAAAAACCAGCCATGTCTAGGTGAGACCTGTGAGTTAAGGCATTCAGTAGGGACTGATGCACTGTGAACAAAGGCGACAGGTAGGCAGGATACCGGGGGGGGGGGATGTGCCCCACCTGACGGCTGTCCCCACTGCCTATGCCGCCAGCAGCTTCTGTGGGTGCACCCCTAGACTTGGAAGGCATCAGTCACCCACAACTGTGAGGCATTATACAAAAGGAGCTTGGGTCATGAGGCAAGCTCCTTTTTGTGGTTGTGATGGGAGTAGGGAAGCTGCAAAAAGGGCACTATGTTGGAGTTTTCAGACTGCTTTTTGATCTGGTGGACTGATGCAGAGCCGGAAGACCCTACAAAATGATTTGGCAGGCAGAGCAGAAGTCCAAGACAAACAGGATACTATAAGGGCCAGGGAAGGGGGATCTGTATGATACAATCTGTGCGGGCCGGGAGCGACCCGAGCCCTTTTCCCGCTGCACACGGGCTGTGGCCAGCAGCCCGGGCACGCCGGATCGGAGAGGGAAGGCCTTCGAGCTGGAATTAGGCACAGATGCGTATCGGTAGTTTAAAAGATTGTTTACTTACACTGAGATGGCAGTGGTGCAGGCTGAAAACTTGCTTAAGTTGCGGTTACAGACAGGAAAGAAGAGAGGCGGACAAGAGTTCTAGACTCGTGAACTCTAGCCCAATCCGGCTGAAGGCTCTGAACACGCGAGCCCGTCGTGTCAGCCGAAGAAAATACTCGTCCAAAAGAGCTCTGAATAAACTCACATGAAGTTTGCTAGGCTCCGTGGGTCCGGTTCTTTTGCGCGCAGGAAGGGATACGTCTAGGAATCTATCGGCAACGGGGCGAGGATACACGTTGATCAGACCTCTGTTGCCTGCTTGCCTCTTATACGGCTAGCAAGCCAATCACTAGCTGCCACGTGTGAATAATTTAGAACTGGCCAATAATGGGACTCGAATTAGCATACAAATGGCAGGAACTCTTTGCAACGAGCATTTCTGTGCTGCAACAAAGAAAGCTCCAAATTGGCGGGAAATTCTCCCTTGCACCGGGGTTCTCTTCTGCAGCAGAAAACTCCACCGTGCAAGGAAGCGATAATTTAGCGGGGACAATTTAGCAGTCCCGAAGCATACAAAAACAAAAATCACACCCTTTGGGTTGTGACACAATCCAGAAGAGACACCTGAAGTTATTGCCCTCTGACAAGACTAAAGACAAACTCCCAAAATAAAACCAAAGGCATGGTAGGCAAGTGAGTGAGGTACTCAGGTGGTCCACAGAGCAGGCCAGCACACACTGACCTCTATGGGGCAGCAGGTAGCCCTAGAACAGGGGTCAGCAATGTTTTTGGATGGAGTGCCAAAAACACCCCAACCTCGACTTAAGATGTTGGTATGTTGGGGCAGAGGGTGGGGGAACTGCAAGGGACCCAAGCCTTGTTGTGGCAATGAAACCACAGACCCTTCCCTGCCATTAACCCAGAGGTACGTGCACACCTGCCACCTGCAAGACTGGGGCTCCGCAGACCTCAGTGCAGCTGTTTTCAGCCTCCCCACTGCTTGCGTGAGTATCTTGCAGCCTCCCTGCCAGCCCAGATCATAGGCTGGCTGTGGCAGGCAACAGGGAGGCTGCAAGCCACTGCACTGAGGTATGCAGAGCCCCAGCCCAGCTCATTGCTGGCAGCAGGTGCACACATATCTCTGGGTGGAAGACAGGGGAGGGGCTGGGGTTGTGCTGCTCTGGCTCCTTCCCCACCGCATATCAGAGGTGCATGTGCAACCACTGCCAGCTGTGGAGCCCGGGTTGCTCACAGCAGGCAGTGGGCAGGCTGCAAGTAGGAATAAAATGCTTAAAACAAATTAAGCAAAATATAGCTAAGGCATTTAGAGCAGGAGCAGACAAAATGTGGCCCGAGGCACTTTCATCTGGCCCGCAGGCACCCACAAATGAATTGTACCCTTCCCAGCCCTTCTGCCCACGAGGGCGAGGCGCCTAGGTATATATATAGCCCCCAACGTACCCTATTATGCCTCGCTCCCACGCTTATGGGCCCGGCCCAACCAGCAGCAGATGCTCCCAAGGGACCTGCTTGGCTTCCCCAGCATCCTACTCGCTCCTGGCAGCAGCTAGGGAAGTGGTAGGGGGAGCTTTAGCTGAATGAGGCAGGGAGTGTGGGTTGGCAGGAGCACGGAGCTCAGCTGGGCAGGGTATGGGTATGAGGGAAGCTACGGGGATCCCTCACACACTCCCCTAAATGGCGTGCAGCCCCCACTACTGGCAAGAGCAGCAGGCAGGGGCACTCAGAGCGCACCTTGCCCAGCCTGACTATTGCGGGGGCTCCGAGCAGTGTGCCTGCAGCTTCGCATTCGTGTGGCACTGGGGGAAGCCCCGTGCTGGAGCTGGCTGCCTTCCCTGCCTCCTGCCACACAAGTCCGAGGGGGGCAAGAGCACCCCAGACTCTGCTTCCCTGTGGAGTCCTGGGACCTGCACAGCAGGGGGCAGGGAAGACAGCCAGCTCCAACGTGGGGCTTCCCCCAGTGCCACGCGAATGCAGACAGTGCATGTGTGGAGCCCGTGACAGATGTGGGCTGGGCAGGAGCTGCTCACCCCTATGCGCAGTGCTGGCTGGAGCTGTGAGCCACTGGGTGCCAGTGCTAGGGCAGTGGGGGCTGAGTGCCATGTGGGGGAATGTGTGGGGGGGGGGTCACCCCTCACACACACACACCCTGCCCCAACAACCCCTCCCACATGTAGACACACACCACAACATACCCTATGCCCCCCCACACACACGCAGTCACCGCCCCACCTCCCATACACACCACCTCCACCTCCCTACACACACACACACACACACACACACCTGGATACACCTCCCACATCCCACCAAACACACCCTCCTGCCCCCAACCATACTCCACACTCCCCCCACACAATATATAGAAGTAAGACTTGATTTTTGAGTTATTATGCAATCACCTCTATATACAGTACACAAACACAAATCATGACAAATATTTTTTGTAATAAAGTTAAAATACGTTATAGTAGGTGTCATAGACGGAGGGAGAAAAAATTTGACGGGGGGGGGGGTACTGAGTGCATGCGCACATGCATCCCCCTCCAACAGGTAAGTCTGCGAGAGAAGGGGCAGAGTGAAGGGGGGAAGGAGTGGGGCAAGGGCTCCCTAGCCCAGCTGCAGCTGCCAGAAGCCCGCAGCTGGGCTGCTTTGTGGCCCTACTGCTGCCCTGCATTTGGGAACTTAGCCCCGTTAGTCATCCCCTTCTGCTGCCCATGATAGGTGATTGACTTTGAGTGTACAATTTGGTTTCTTTCTCATTCCAAGATGGCAACCCTTCCCTCCCAAAATAAGTATTTCTGGGGGGGCAAGAGGATGGACTTCCAGTGGCAAAGGTCAGGAGGTTAGGGGGTGAGACTTCAGGTCCCACTATGACGACCAGGAAGCGAGGCAATTAATCAGGGGCGGGGCTACCCATGCAACCCTTGACAGCTGATCAAAACTCATTAAATGGCCCTCTAGCAGAAATAATTGCCTGCCTCTGCTTTAGTCTAGTGTAATATAGATGTTAAAAAAAAAAAAAAATTGAGGAGGTAAGGAAGCCACTTGAATTTTAAACTCAAATTGCCAACCTGTCAAGCTTACATTGTTTATGTTTCTTTTCTTTTCTGCTACTTTATTTTTCATTTTAAGTAAAATCATAAATTTTCAACGGGACTGTCTGCACAGCAAGGATGGAAAAAATGAGCTAGTGAAGGTAATGTGCAATTTGGACACTTTTAGTAAGTCTCATAAAGTAATTCCATTAATGCTAGATGCATGGTTTAATACTACCAATAAATGAAAATATGTTGTTCTTTAGTATAACTGAAAACGTGCTTAAGCCATGGATTTAACAAGAATTCATCGTCTCATTAGATTATTCTGTGTGTATCAGCTGCTTGAACACCTTCATTCTACCCACCCATTCCAGTATTAATCATCCATTCGAGTACGATTCAGTGGCACTTCACACTGCCCATCTCACCTTAAAAACTGGGACAATCAACATTAAAATAGCAAGCTGTAGGGTGAAAAAACCCTGTCATCCTCTCTATTTGATATAATCTAGAGGTACTTGAGCTACACAGAACTGTGAAAATTGCTTAAGTAGTCACAGAAGTGCAAGAGATCCAATTAGCATTTTCAATATTGAATACTGAAAGTAACATAAGTTTCCATTACAGCCGTACTGTCAGATGCAACATAGTTTTTCACACACACCATTTTACACAGTGAATCTTTAACAATACTGACAACCAGGAGCAAACAAGTGAAGGCTGCTGAATCATTAAAAAACAAAGCACTCAAAAAAGATTTAATATTCCTGGACTGAGATACTGAATCTTTTAAGTCTCCAAAGCAGAAACATCTTGAATTAGTGTAACAGCAAGAAAATAGGGAATGATCTCTGACTCCTTCACTTGATAAGAAACAAGCTACATACTAGAAAAATGCTTACGAGTCATATCAGTTTTTTTTTAAATCATATTTTAAGTTGTTTCCATTACTTTGAAACAACATAACGTATATTCCTTTCCCCACTGATCTCAAAGTTTCAGTTCTCTACGCTTCTAGGTGCATGTTCCTATTATCTGTGTCATCATCGTATTCTTCATATATTCTGTGTCTGGCTCATTCATACCCGCTTTCTCTGTCCCTCTCCGCAAAAAAAATCATTCAAATGCTCCAACTACCTTCACAAGGAAGTTTTTATTTTGCTTCCATCTCCAGTCTTTTAGCACGGGAACACATTTCAAACCTACTTTCATCTCGCCTCTTCTTTCTGTCTTCATAGCTTTTTTGAAAGAAATTTAGCTAGCATCTATACTTATCAGTAACTTTCTACCTACCTTCACTAAGACACCATCCTTTACAGTCCTGCCTAAGAGACCATCCTTTACAGTCTATAAGTAGTTCTTCCCCTAGTCACCTGCCACTCTTCACTGACATTATTACTGAAGCTTTCCTTTTACTGCATGCATTGAGTATTTTTTTTTGCCATCATGAATAATGCAACGGAAGCTACCACCATTCACTAATGCTCTGCAGTTTTTCTAACTGGAGTGTCTGCACAGTTGACTTAATGGTTTACATGTTATTGTGGCTCTTTGGTTAATACTGACTGCTCATTGTGTTCTGGAGCCAGTCAAAACTAGGTCTTACTGTTTTATATTCCAAATTCATATTCTAAACCCAGCGGCCAAATTCAATTCTTTAACTACATCCTCACCCAACTGCTAATTTTTTTCCCAGCTCTACGATTCTCAAGTCACTCTTCCG